CAATTTAACTACAAAAAATTGTTCTTAGTTCACACGATTCAATTCTTTGAGCAATGCTCGTTATTTAAGTAATAAAAAGTAACAAAAATTATTTTTAATTCACGTGATTTAATTTGAAATTCTTTGAGCTACACTCGTTACCTAATAAAGTAATAAAATTCAATTTAACTACAAAAAATTGTTCTTAGTTCACACGATTCAATTCTTTGAGCAATGCTCGTTACTTAAATGCAAAAAATTGTCTTTAGTTTACACGATTCTTTGAGCAATGCTCGTTATTTAAGTAATAAAAAGTAACAAAAATTATTCTTAATTCACGTGATTTAATTTGAAATTCTTTGAGCTACACTCGTTACTTAACAAAATAATAAAATTCAATTTAACTACAAAAAATTGTTCTTAGTTCACACGATTCAATTCTTTGAGCAATGCTCGTTACTTAAGTAATAAAAAGTAATAAAAATTATTCTTAATTCATGTGATTTGAAATTCTTTGATCTACACTTGTTACCTAATAACGTAATAAAGTTCAATTTAACTTTTCCAAAACATTGTTCTTAGTTCACACGATTCAATTCTTTGAGCAATGCTCGTTACTTAAGTAATAAAAAGTAATAAAAATTATTCTTAATTCATGTGATTTGAAATTCTTTGATCTACACTTGTTACCTAATAAAGTAATAAAGTTCAATTTAACTTTTACAAAAAATTGTTCTTAGTTCACACGATTCAATTCCTTGAGCAACGCTCGTTATCCAAATAATAAAATAGCAAAGTTCAATTTGACTAGAAAAATTGGTTCGCAATTAGCACGATTCGCGATTAGAAATTCTTTGGAGCAACTGCTCTCCAATTGCTCGTTACCCAAGTAAGAGAAAAGATTCCTCTCGGTCGATATGTGATATTCGGTTGTGCGAGCTCCAGCTCGGAATATCCCCACCGCGAAACTTTATGTTCGTCACGAGAGTATCCGCGGCAAAGTTTGGCAATCAGAGATCGGAGGGATCACGTAAGAAGATCGCGCGGCGGAAGGAAGGCATCGCTCACTTCCGGTGTGTGTATGCGGAGTGAGCCGAGAGTCCAGGCACGTCCTCGTCAACGAATCCCGGAAATTGCCGCACGTAAAAGCGTCGCGGTGCCCCGGGATTACTCGCAATTCGAGTGTCTCTCGCCTCCCTCTTAAACACTCCCTCGATCTTCTTCTCGGTTTCATCGACCCCTGTCGTTCGTTAAAGAAACCGGAGAATGGGTCAACGCTCGAATCTCGACTATTTTTTTCTACAATTGCGTCCTCTTAATCGCGTTCCTCTTAATATTTTCGATATTATTATGTCTATCTATCCGGTTTTATATTATAACGAGTTTTATCTTCGAAGAGGAGAAGTATCATTTAAGAGTCATCTTTTCTCTTCGTCGAATAAAGGATTTGAAATACCCGATGTCATAGAACAATTATGAATTTTTCAGAGTTTTGTCGTCGATACGCGTAATATTTTTCCGACTCAAAAAGTCCTTTTGATATTCTTAATGCAGCATTGAATACGTATTAAACTCAAAAATTTATTCTCACAGCGTCCTGCACGACGTAAAAATTTAAGTTACCCTCACAATCCATCCCAGTCGTTTCTTTTATTAAAACTTTTATCTAACAATCTCATCGTCGAATCGATCGCGCTAATTACCGATGGAATCGCATCACGTGTAGAAAATTTAATAAAACGAGCATCGAGCTCACCTCGGCCTCGTTCTCTTTGTAGGACCAGAAGTCAATCTGTCTGAGTGCTTCCAACTGGTTCTCGAGCGGGTCGGTTCCATTGCCTTTGTCCTTCTTCCACGCGTAGATGGGTCGCTCGAGGCCCACCTGCACCTGATTATTACCCGAACGTTCCTGCTCCTCGCCGCCCCGCCTTTCATTTTCGTTCCTCGCGTCCTCCTCGTTCCTCCTCCACTCGTTTCCGCCGTACTTGGGCGAGGAGACCGCGGACACGGCCACGAAAGCGTTGTTCCTCGACTTGGACGAGGCGGCGTCGGCCGTGGTCCCCGGCTTCGAGATCGGCATCGCGGTCACCCTGTGGTAGGCGAACTGTTTCCACTTGGCGGGCCAAGTGCCCGTCGAGCTCGTCTTCCCGTAACCCCATTCCTCGCTCATCTTCTGCTGCCACGGGGACAGATCGTTGGGGCTCTTCGCTCCCCAACCAGCCCGCTCGCCCGGCTTCCTCCTCGCCCAGCCATCGTTGGGATCCTCCTCCTTCGCCTTCGCCACGGGCCACGACGGGTCTCCCCCGAACTTGGACGCGTCCTCGCCCGTTCTCGACTCGTTCCAAGACTCGTTCGACTTGGTCGACGACCACGAACCACCGCCCCTCACAGCCCACGAACTCTTCTCCCCTCCCCCCTGGATTTTCGATATCCAGGAGGAGGAGGAGG